CTTTATAGGCTTATAGTAGATAGTAACCTAAGCCTCTCTAACTACTTACTTCGAGAGAGTTTTACTTTGCTTTATTCCGCTATAACTAGATAGGTTAGACCTCTATATTTAATACTTATAGCCTTTAATTAATACTTAATTTACTTTTAATTAGTACTAATTCTACTATTAAAACACGCTATTAGATTAGCTATAGAAGGCGCTATCGATCGGGCCTAGAGTAGTAACTATATACTTTAGAGAGAATAGAGCTTATAAGCGAAGAAGCTCTATATACTCGTAGTATTACTAGAGCTATAAGCTTAAAAGAAAGATAGTTAATAGTTACTATATTACTTCTTTCTTAACCTATCTTAATAATCGAATATCGGAATTAGTAGTTATAATAACCTCTTAAAGAGTAGGTAGACTTATAAGCGCGAATAATATTAGAGATAGACTAACTATATATATCTAGCTTATATATCTTTATACTTCGTTATAGGGATCGTAGCCGAAGGATTCTATTAAAGTACTAAACTTCTTTTAGTACGAGACTTGCGATAATTAATAGTGTCGCCCGAATATTTGCCTCGAGCGCTATAGACTATGCAATGCATTAATTAGTTTAACGTTTAAGTTCGTCGGGAAGCACTTTCTTCTCGTCCGATCGGAGTTCTATACGGAAGTCCATTTGTCGCTTTCGGCACATCTTCGTAGCAATGATCTTGTCCGACATTCGATGCTATGCTATATTGTCAGTATGGTGGACATAATGTTGAGTGTGAGAGAACGAATTCGAAAGACTGAGGAAAGGAAGGGCTGTGCTTGTTGTTGGCCTTGTTGCCTGACACATGCAATCTCGCGTAGAAAGCTTGACCTCAGCGGCCGCGTAGTTCTATCCCTTTTCCGCTACATGGCAACCATCAACGTTCGACATCATCGTCGAGACCTTTCATCATCAAGAAGCGCACAAGAAGACAATGCATACAAGTTGCCCAGACTGTTGTGCGATACACGTCAACAACGCTCATACGAGATATGGGTGATAATGCTCGACCGTATCTCGAACTGCCATCCGAACTACGTCGAAAGCCTGTACCATTGAGACATGCTCGCAGTACGCCAATTCTGAACCGTCAAGGCAGTGCCTTTGAGGACCCACCACGCTACGACGATCTATTCTATAGTGATCCGTATGCCGAGCACTCTCGACCAAACAGCAAGCATGAACCTGCAATTTCAGAACAAGAAGTGGCTCCGGACTTTGACCAGCAGCTGAAAGATATAGTCCTTGTAACAGAAACAACGCATGAAGCCAGCGAGGCCTCATCTGTGCATGGCAGACCAGAGGCGGAAAAGCTTTCGACGAAGCTCAATCACTTCAGACTCGCTGTTGGAACCGCTGTCAATGATGCAAAGCACTTCGCCGGAGGCTTGATCCCTCATCCTTACGAGGCAACGAAGCATTATTCCATTCTTCGACACTCTCTGGGTGTTGTCTACTACCGCGGATTGACGACCAGAGCAACAATCACCATCTTCTCGGATCGCGGGATTCCTGCTACTCGACAGCTCTGGTTGCAAAAGCGAGGTTTCTCTGGCAAGACAGGCCTGGCTCTCGGTGCAGCAATGGGAGTCAAGTCAGCTTGGATTAATGTCACCCCTGTGGAAGAAGTCACTTCGGATCGATTACCGCCAGGTGATGAACGTGCATGGCAAAGAGACATCACCAAATTCCTCTCAAAAGTGAAAGACACCAAGTCTGTGCAGAATCATCGACCCTGCGAAACACTTGTCGTCCGGATTCCTTTCGCATGCCAGGATGGCTACTTCCGAATTGTGCTTTGCGACGGGAAGAAAGTTCTGTGTCCTTCTCCAGTTTTCAGGTGCGCCTCGACTTCTTGCGACCCCAGCGTCTTACGCGGAGCTAGTCTGCGTACACTACCGTTAGAGCTAGGGATCAAAGCAGGAGCAGTAGTTGCCGGCAGAGCTACTGCAGCTGCGTCGGCTTCACACAAGGCAATCGCGCCAACGGTCTCGTTGGCTCGTAGCGTCACGAAATCGGAAGTCATGAATGAAGTTCCGATGCATTGGCTTGGTATACGGTCCGACGCGATGCTGGACAAATGTGAAGAGTTTGGCAGAGGAGGAGTATATATTCGGCGATGAGCATCGACAGGCGACTTTCGGTGTCTACCAATTTGACACGTCTGGTTCTTCCATCTATCTTTAAATCATGACATCGTAAGCTGTGCGGGAGATCAACTCTAGGATCTGGAAACTTCCGCAAAAGCGCTCAACAACACGGAAACTTCTTGAGCGCCATTCTCACTCCAAAAGTCTGGACGACTCATCTGCCGCATTGCCAGTTGATAGCAGCCATGCAATCCGGCATCGCCCATGCCAGAGTTGGCATTCATTCGAAGACCAATGGACAGCACGAGGAACACCAGACACCTCGCCACGCGCAAGGTATATGTCGTATATGATGAAAGCATAGAATGCACTGTCGGGTGCACGTCTGTGGTATGACTGGGCAGCAAATATATTGCCTCCAGACAGACTCTGAATGCTGATCGCTCGATGGGCAGGTACCGGCTGCTGAATACTTGCTCCGCTAGCGCTTCTGCCTGAGTCTTTGATGGTGTTGGCTCCGGGACGAATTGATCGAAGTTGCCGAAGCCTTCATTGTATTCTGGCTCTCCGAATGGATCGTCCATGCCCCAGTCACCACTCTGATCTGCAGGTGCACAAAGAGCTTCTCCCAGACCGCCGAATGAAGACACCGAAGATCGACGAGAGATGTGATGCCCGCCTGGCGAGACCGGCGTTTGCAGTGTCTGACTGTACACATCGGCCCACTGGGACATCGGTGGCGTACGATGTGGTCCTTGTCCACTGATATTGAGCGTCGATGCACCTAGAGCATTCCCATAATCGAACGCTGAGACTGCCGAAAATGGATCTGGTGATGATGCTCTGGACGTTCCTGAGAACAGACTGGGACTTGGCGACAGAGCCAATGGAGATGACGGATTGCTACCATGCGGCCCTGTGATCTGTATTGTTGGTACATTATTCGGTGACAAGAAGTCATCACTCATCGACATGTCATCCATGCCGCTAGACGCGTGGGGCATGTCAGCACTAAAGCTTGTATCCAGATGTAGAGCTGGTGGGCCAGGACGCGGATTCCAAGAAGAGGCCTCTGCCTGCTCGCTTGCTGTCACTGCCGCCAATCTGGCCTCAAGCATTCGAACCCGATCTGCCAGCGCCGCATGTTCTGCATTACTGCGAGGCCTGTCAGCAATTGGCCTCAAATCTAGAATACAAGGCTCCGCCTACCTGCTGCTCCGCTCCCTCCGTTCCTCAGGCTTGGTGCATCGCACGTTAAACCTAGCGCAGGTAGCGCAAGGCTGATTACCATCGCATCGGATCTTACGCCTTCGACATCGTTCGCAAGCGACGATCGCAGTTTTGCGCCTCTGCCGATTGATCACCTGGTTGTCATACACTGGATCGCCAATCGTTGCTCTCCTCTGCAAGGGTTGCTGCACTCCATCATCTCCTTGTGGATCGGTTTCCGGCGAATAAGCTGCAGTCGACATGTTGTTGGTTGCGGGCGGCCTCTATCTTCCAAGCCTGAACAGGTGATCACTTTTCGCTGCTGCGGCTCCTGCTGCTGCTACTGAGGCATGCAAGCATTCCAATCCGTGCCTCGTGTTCCATGTACAGTGCAAATCTCGACGACGAACCACAATCATTCTTTTGCGAGGTCAAATCTCTGTACTTCTTCTCTCAGCAAACACAAAATACAGTCAAGGGAACCTGAGGTTGCGAATAGAGTCCTTCTAGAACAATTCCAACAGACGAGGGTTGGGGGAGGGGTGAATGCTGGATGAGCTTACCCCAAGTACATGTTTACCTCTTTCTGCCGCCGTCAAAGACCGGCTTTCGTACCGGCGGTAGACAATGACCAAAGGTGGTATTCCGCCCGCGTGAGGTGACTGAGGAGGGCATCTTTTTGCCAAGCGTTTTGAGGCAGTGCAAGCCGCCAAGATTGTCAAGTCTTTGGACTGCTTGCTCAAGTTCGCGGAGAAAGGCGAAAATGGGCGCCACTTGTGTAAGTTCCAGCCGCGGAAGAAGGTTCTGCCTCAAATACAGGCTTTCTGTCGCATGATGTGTGTTGGGGGCGGACAAGGTGTACAGTACACTTTTGTAGCATGGAAACTATGATACCTCATGCCCAATAAGCGAATTCTTACTTACTGGTGATGAGATGGTGTGCTAAGCACAGTGTAGCCAAGGTGTCAGTGCCCACAAGCCCAGACGTAATTAATCAAATGTCTCTCGGGAGGAATGCCCACAAGTGACGTGCAATATCCGAGGTTTGCAACGCCCGTGCAATAGTGATGTCGTCGTCGATGTTCGTATTGGAAGTATTACTCAACAGCCGAGAATATTGTGGTTCGCAGCTGTGGGAGCACGAACGGACATGGTTCTCCGCAGTCTCCGCTATCACATACGCCTCGCGAGGTGCCACAACATGTGAAGCATTTGCTCGGCGAGAGGGGTGCAGTAGTTCTCGTGAAAATCTTAGCAGTTGCATGCTGGAATGCTTGCTCGGGTGGAAGGCGAGACCAAGCAACGTAGTGCAAGAACGAAAGTTACGGCACATTTGAGGTGGAACCACCATGACACGACGACAACAGATAGAGGAGAGGAAGATTGTAATTAAATGGTTTGATTTGTTTTCTAATCTGTTACATGAAAGTCCTCCATAGAGGGCACTCTCGCTTGCTTGTTATCTGGTCATTATCCGTCAATCATTTCTATATCTATTTTGTTATTGTGTTTCTTTCTGTATCCCTCTCTCCGATCAATGCCGCTATGCAATCTGTCTATCACTGTGCTTGGTTGTCTTGCCTGAGGCTCAAACCACGGAAATTTTAGCCTTCTTCTCATTCTCAGCCTCCTGCTCCTGGGCCTCAGCCTCGGAGGCCACGTCCTGGCTTTCCTTCTTGCTGCGGCGCAGTCCCTTGATCTTTCGAGAGATTGCGTGTGTTGCGCGGCTGAGTGGCCTGTAAACTCGGACCACTGGCCATCCAAAAAACTTGGCAAGGGTGGCGAACCATGCATCGGGGAACAGACGGACCAGAATACCCCAAGGGAGCGATCCAGCACCGAGAACCACAGCAATACCCCAGTCTCTTGCCCCGATTCTGCTTATTGAGAAAGCCCTGCCGCCTATATACATGATCATGACTTGACATCCGATCATGATGGCCAAAATCCCGATGAGGAAGTAGTTCTTGAAGAATCCGACGAAGATGTTGAACTTGTTGTCCAGACGTCTGTTGTTAAGCATATTGAACACTTGGAACCAGACGAAAGTGTTGAAGACCACGGAACGGATCTCGCTGCCGTCTCTGACCACATTGAGAATGCTGGGTCCCACGTAGTAGAGGATAAAGGTCACGACAAGCTGGTAAATAGCTTGACCGATGATCATCTTCCACATGATAGTGCTGATGAGAGGTGCTGATCGCTTAGCTGGCTTGCGGTCGAGGATTTCCTCAGTCGGTGGGTCAGATGCGAGTGCGAGTGCTGCCATGGAGTCCCTGAGAATTGTTAGCGATAAATTTCAGTGAAAGGCACGATTGATGACTTACATGATCAGGTTGATCCAGAGCAATTGCACAGCAGTAAGCACAGATTGCATGTCGGCGTTGGCAACAGCGGAGACGAAAGTGATGATGACAGCGGTGATGTTGACGGTGATCTGGAACTGCAAAAACTTGCGAACGGCGTCGTTGACGGCACGTCCCCACATCAGAGCAGTCAGGATCGAGGTAAAGTTGTCGTCCATGAGAATAATGGCAGATGCCTCCTTAGCGACTTCAGTTCCAGAGATACCCATGGAGAAACCAATATCGGCAGCCTTGAGAGCAGGACCGTCGTTGGTACCGTCACCAGTGACGGCGACGATCTCACCAAGACGGCGGAGGCCAGTAACCAGAATACGCTTGTCCTCGGGAGAAGATCGTGCAAGAACCTGAAGCTTTGGAAGGACTTCGTCCATTTGCTGTTCGCTGAGGGTACGGAAGACAGGGCCTTCCATGACGAGGCCGCCAGTGTAGATACCACAGTCAGTTGCAATAGCCTTAGCAGTTGTGACGTTATCACCAGTGACCATACGAGTGCTGACACCTGCATAGGCACACTTGGAGACGGCCTCTGGGACACCTGGGCGGACTGGATCCTGGATACCAACAAGGCCATCGAAAGTCATCTCCTTCAACACGAGGTCCATATCGGCAGAGTGTGGGTCGTTCTCAACAGTGCAGCCAGCTGGTGGCCACTGGGGGAAGTCGCGGGAGATCAGAGCGATGGTGCGAAGAGACTGCTTGGCGTAGTCGTCGATGATGGCCTCGATGCGTTCACGCTCAGCGCTGTCGAGTGGAACGAGACCAGCAGATGTGGCGATGTTTGTGCTGTGGCCAAGGAGAATCTCAGAGGCACCCTTGATGAGCAGGCGGTAAGTTCCATCAGAAAGCTTCTGGACAGCACCCATGCACTTGCGAGCAGAGTCGAAAGGCATCAATTGGACGATGTTGGCGTTTGAGCGTTCCTCTGCAACAGGACCCATTCCGAGGATACGGCCGAGGGCGAGGAGGGCAGTCTCGGTCTTCGAACCAACGAAGGTACCGTCGTCAGCCTCAAATGCAGTAGAGTTGATCGCGATAGCATCCACGATGCGGCGGCGCTCTTCGGTGCTTAATTGCTGGGCAAAAGCGGTGGTGGTAGTCTCGTCCCCATTCTTGTTCTTATCATCGAAAGAACGTTCGCCGAATGTGCCAGTAACCACAGTCATGACGTTCGTAGTCAAAGTACCAGTCTTGTCGGAACAGATAGTTGTGGCGTTTCCCATGGTTTCGCAAGACTTCAAGATACGGACCAAGTTGTTCAGCTTGACCAAACGAGTAGTAGCGAAAGCGAGGGCCAGAGTGACAGCGAGTGGCAGACCCTCGGGCACTGCGACAACAATGACTGTAACAGCGACGATCAGAATGTCGAGGAATTGCGAGGCCTTCTCGGAGCTCGTTCGTGGGTTGTCAGACAGTCCGCCAACGAAGCGGAAGAGCAGGACGAAGAACAAGAAAGCAGCCGCAGACGTTCCGAGTTTGGCAATAGCAGTGGCCAGACCATCGAGCTTGACCTGAAGTGGTGTTGGTGCCATATCGACACGCATAGCCATCAGAATCTTGCCGTAGGACGAGTTGACACCAACAGATGTGGCGACATATGTACCGATGCCCTCGAGAACTTTGCTGCCAGAAATGATGAAGCAGTCCATATCCTTGAGATCGGTGTGGCCTTCCTCGAGCATCTTCATGACTTGCTCGCCACCGACTTTCTTGAGAGCGTCGGATTCACCAGTAGCAGAAGATTCGTCGCACTTGACGTTGTGACCACCAATGAAGATGCCGTCGACTGGAACCATGTCACCAGGCTCGAGATGCAGGACATCACCAGCGGTGAGCTCCTGGACTGGGATCTGAATCGACTTGCCGGATCGAATAACCTTGATCTCTCGCTTGTCCTTCTTCGCATTGAGTTTGACGAAAGCGCGTTCCTTTTGATAATCGTTCAGAGAGCCAACGAGGACGACAATAATGATAGCGATACAAATGGCGCAGCCTTCGATCCAATCGACTGGAGGTGGTGCTCCAGGGGGGTGATATGCGCCGAATGTTTCGTAGAGTCCAAGGGCGAGAGAGATGGCAGCGGCAACGGTGAGCAAGATCAACACCTTATCGTTGTATGCGATCCACATCAGCTTCCAAAGTGGATTGGGCTTCTTGTCAGGAAGAGCGTTGTTGCTGAATACATTCAGTCGGTCCAGATACGTGCCAGATCCCTTCGATGTGGCGGCCTCTCGAGCCGTTGGGGCAGGTGTGGACTCATTCCAGCCGAGTGTCTTTGATTTCTCTCCGTATTGAGTCGCTTCTTCGAATGTCACCTTTCCGTCAAGTGTGCTCTCGTCTGCACTCAGACCCGTTTGTAGGTTTGTTCGAAGTCCTCGCTCGATGCCTTTGATACCACCGAGAGCAGCGTATGCGTTCAGAGATTTGGGGTTGAGCAGCTTATTGAGCTGTCCAGGGGAGAACGCGAACTTGTTATCCTTGACATCAAAGTCCTTTTCCGTGCCAGGATCTGGTCTCAGCGCATCTTCTCGCACTTCGTGACTGAATACGCTTGAAGCGCTGCTCCCCTTCTCGCCATATGATGTGTCTGGCACTTTGAGATTTGAATATTGTGTGCTTCCGCTCAGTCCACTCGTTGATCGTTCGCGACCGTGCCATGTTGGTGTTTGTAGCATTGTTGGAGAACTGGGGGCTCGGTCTCTGCTACCTGGTAGAGGAGTCGTCGGCGTAGGCGTAATCTCGTTGTTGTTCGTCTCGTTATCCGGCGATGTCTCGACATCTATGCGTGGTAGTGGTGGCCCCGCCATTGTGTCGAAGTCGATCAGAGTCTATGCCGTATGGCGGCCTCTGGTATGCACTGCCGTCGTACAAGGCAACTTGATCGTGTTTGCGGCCCAGAGGATCAGTGTGCATGAGTATACATAGTTAAAAGAAACGTCCCTGAGCCACCTACTTCACCTGAGACTCGATCGAGGCGCAGCACAGCCTTCGCGCTGACAGCGGCGACAAAGGCCTTGGTCCATAGCTGCGCCCGTCCTCAAACCCAGGAGCCTAACCGCTTGGCAGGATCGGAGCCATCGACGTATGCTGCGGGCACGGGGGCAAATCCCGTCACGCTGCCAGGGCGCAATCGCAGGCCGTCGACAGCTGGGTTGCTGGCGCTAGAATGCGCGAAACGATCGTAGCTCGCGGCGGCAAAATTCTTGCAATCACGGCCGCCAGGTCAGGCGAGGAGGCTCCGCCCAGCGGCGGCCAAGACAGTGATGTTGCAGAGTCAAGCAGAATTCGGCGCTAAAAAACGGGCTCGGCACCGCACATGCAGCACACCATGTCTGGACGATCGATAGCACGTGATGTGTACCTTTAATGGCCTTAGGACTGGTTGGATGGCCTGAGTGCCTCCGGTACTGGTTGAGGTAGGATCGTCTTGGCATCCCGCTCTCTTCCTTTCCTGCATCAACATGGCGCTCCGTTCTGCAGTCCGCCCGGGCATAGGCCCAGCGGCCACTATGCGTCTAGCACCACTTTTCTCTGCTGCCATCCAGTATGGAGCACAGGCCGCACGGTCTAGATACTTCGTGGCGGGCTCGTGGTGCTGTCAACCCCGCATGGAGTGCAGGTGAGACCTCTTTGGGGTGCATAGACGACGGGGTAGCACAGCGGTAGTGGCGACCCTGCCGTACCTGTGACTCCGTCGGGAAGCTCTTTGCAGTATCTTTCTACCGGAGCATGTGCGGCGAGCGGCATTTGAGCTGCCACATGGCGCAAAAGATACTGCAACGTTCATCCGTATAAGGTAGGCCGCCGATCAGTGTTCCATTATCTCTTCCATCAGTTGGCGGCCTCAACTTTTCACTGAGTGGGTCGACTCTTTTCTGTTCATTAGAATCAGTTTGCACTGAGACACAGGCCTTCAAGAAACTATCCACCGTCTGGCGGTCCACCGCCAACATGGGTATCACACTCCATGCCAACAATACCGATGACCCTCCAGAGGTCAGAAACTGGAAGGTCCACATGATTGCCCTCATCGCGTCCATGGGCGCGCTGGCTATGGGCTATGATACGTCTGTCATTGGTGGCACCATGGCATTGGACTCTTTCCGCCGCGACTTTGGTCTTGTCGATGTCACTCAATTCCAGCGCGACACACTGCAAGGCAATATCGTATCGACCTTCCAAGCTGGAACCTTCTTCGGTGCACTCTTAACTTTCCCAGTTGGCGAAAAGATCGGTCGCAAGAATGCCATTCTCATCGCATCTATCATCTTCCTCATTGGCGGTTCTATCATGGTGAGTTGTGATTGCGTATGCTGAATTGGCGATTGCTGACCTCAGTCCAGACTGCTTCAAGTGGAATCATTGGTCTCATCTATGCTGGTCGCGCCATTGCCGGTTTTGGCATTGGTATGGTCTCTCTCCAGGTTCCCGTCTATATCGCCGAAACTTCACCCCCCTCGATTCGTGGTCGACTCATAGGTATATTCGAGATATTATCTCAAGGAGGAGGCATGTTAGGCTTCTGGATAAATTATGCCGTAAATCAAACTATCTCCAGCGGCGGTCAAGTCCAATGGATCGTTCCTCTCGGCCTCCAGCTCCTGCCTGGTCTGCTGCTCGCCGTTGGCATTTTCTGGTGTCCAGAGTCGCCTCGATACTACGTTAAGAAAGACCGCTGGGAGGACGCTGCAAAGACGCTCTCCTGGATTCGTAACCTTCCTCAAGACCACGAATACATCCAGCGTGAACTTGACGACATCCGTACCCAGCACTTGCTCGTCCAACCACCATCCGGACTCAAGAATCCAAAGCGTTACTACTTCCAGCGCCTCTTCCAGAAGGGTACCCGCAACAGAATCGGTATCGGTCTTCTCCTCATGGCCTTCCAGAACTTGACAGGCGTCAATATCATTACATACTACTCCCCCCGAATTTTTGAAACCCTCGGAATCACTGGTACCGACACCAAACTCTTCGCAACAGGTTTCTACGGTGTAGCAAAAACCCTCGGTATGATCATCTTCTCCGTCTGGCTTGTCGAACGTCTCGGTCGTCGTCCAGGTCTCATCTGGGGAGCCTTCGTGGGCTCACTTCCAATGTGGTATCTCGGAGGCTACGTCTTGAAGAACGATCCCACGAAAGCTGCAGCTGCAGGTGAAGTTTCTCGGTCCGGAGCAGGTTACTTCGCCATGGTTTGCGTGTACCTCTACGGCTTGATCTACTGCGCAACTTGGCAAGGTATCACCTGGGTATACTGTTCTGAGATCTTCCCGCTCGATATCAGAATGCTGTGTGTTGCCATCACAACGGCCGATCAGTGGTTGTGGTCTTTCATCATTTCGAGGACGACGCCATATATGATCACCTCTCTCGGGTACGGGACGTACTTCTTCTTCGCTGCATTGATGGTCTGCATGGGCGTATGGGCATGGCTGTTCGTGCCGGAAACCAAGGGAAAGACTCTGGAGGATATGGAGCCCATCTTTGGAGCGCTGCCTCCTCTCAACACGAAGGCTTTGGAAGAGGAGGGAGATTCACCCGATTCTCCTACCAGAGAAATCAGTGAGAAGTTTGGCGGGAACGTCTCGTATCTCGAGACGACAGATCGACGAGAGGCAAGAGGGCGGAGATCAAGATCTGTGACACCTCAGCCGATCGCCAGAGTCATGAGCTCGTAGGAAGATGAAAACGCTGAGAAGAGGAAGGACAGCACACCTGAATGATTCAAGCTGGGCTGATGATGAAAATGACGACGAGTAATGAGAGCATGTGATTTGGAGCCATATTCTTATGCATATTGCACTTGGCGCGACTGAGTGTTTGGACTGTACATAGATGGAAATAGAAGAAGAAAAAAATCGCATAAGGTCAGAAGCCGAAAATAAGCTCATCACCAAGCTCGTGCGTGAACTGTCGAAATATGTCTTGTTGAGGTGAAGGACCGCTTGGCCATTCAAAAGCTTTCTCGGCGAGGAAGTCTTCGATGAAAGGATTCCCGAGTGGGTCGCTGGGTTGTACTGCATCGTCTTGGAAGTAAGAGCTGGGCAGAGGCCAGTTGTGCTCAGACTCGTTTTGGTAGGCGTGTGGAACTCTGCTTGTTGCGGCTTCAGATGTAATGCCGGGGGACACTCTAGATGGCATCGCTGAAGCGTTCGCTGTGAGAGACGCATCACGACTTGTGATAATGGAGCTCTGAATCTTTCCCAGACGGCGCAGATAGTCCTTCGCCGATACGTTCCCATTGGAGGCCATCGTGCCCAGCAGACTGAAAGCCATCTGTACGGCCTCTGACAACTTCGCGGCAGGCTCCATAGTTCCTGCGATGATGAGTATAAGAGTCGATGAGAATATATAATGCGAGTCGAAGTATCCGAAGACAGCCAGATTGCCGTCAATAAAGAGTCTCGACAGAAGATGGTTCGTGGACATTGCAGATTGCTTGCATGCATCTGCTAGAGCCAGGGTGGTCGGTGAGAAGGAATGCGACGGTGTTGCATTGGAGCTTTGCAACTCTGTTGTGAAGATGTGAAAGAGAATCGGTCTTGTGGTTTGAATGATGCATAGATGGTAGTGCATGTGCAGGGTGTAAAGGTTTCTTGCAGAGTTGTCGGCCTGGATTCGCAGCTCGCTTGGTAACTCACTGTCCCACTTGCGGAGCTGATTAAGCACCCGATGAACGCGACGTACGAATGTAGTCGTGCCATGATTAGGAAGACAATAGACGTCGGTCACTGATCACATGCTTAGTAGAGCGTTGCTGAAGCAGACGGTGCACTCACATATGCTGCCAGTGATCCTAGAAAGCTTAACGTGAGCACAAAGATGCTTGGGATCATGGAATTCCTGTTGGTCTTCGGAAGTCAGGCTCTCGGAAGATGGCATCTCTACATCGATGTCCTCATCTCTGATTCCAAGCGGAAAGCCGAGTTTCGACGAGATCAATCTGTCGAATAGGTATAACGTCCACCAGATCCGGCGCCGATGTTCTTGGTCCTTACGAGATAGCCCAGTTGTGGTGCTTCTCGATCTGTGCAAGCCAAGGCTAATGCTTGATCGAAGTGCAATACCGCAGTAGACATGAGCGGATTGGAGTCGGCCGATGCAATTTGCGTAGAATGACTTTGTAAATTAGTACCATTGCCACATCAGGGAGCCGATGAGCTCACCAAGAGGAGCAGCACTTGGATCTGCTCGATAGATGGATGCTCATAGTCATCTTGCAATAGTGTAATGGCCTGGAGGAAATAAGCAGTTCCAGGAACATCCTTCCCGTTAGTGGGCTCGGCATGATAGCAGGAGTACAGCTCTCCAAGTGCCAACAAAGCGAAGAGATGGCATCCCCAGAGGACATCGGAGAAATTGTTCGAAGCATAAGTTTCGTCGAATTTTCTGAAAAAGGACTTTTTCAAGAACAATTGATAGTTGTTGCCAATGAAACGATCGACTCTTCGTATGAGGAGGCTTGCTCTGACACGATCTGGTAATTGGTAGTTGGAACTCATGAGTCGATTGAACATGGGACCCGAAATGTGGTCTGGCAAAGCGCTGTGTGAGACAGTATCCTGGTTTCTGTCGATGCAGTGTAACAAGCGATCGCTGAAAGCCGTACACGATGCTTCGCCCGCGAAAGGCAGGGCATGGTTCGGTGACTTTCCGTGACGAAGCTCAAGGAGAAGATTGGGCAGATCAGCGTCCGCAGCTGCATTAGCTTCTGCTACCTGATCGACAGCGCTGTTGCGACCTTCCGCAAGAGACGGCAAAGAAGAGCAGCGCTCTACTTCTACTTGTGCCTTCAGTTCACGCACTTGAGCTTCCAATTTTTGGATATAACTGTAGTTTCTTAGTCACCGGTACATTAAAAAGATTGGCCATGAATACCTTTCTTGCACTGTCACTTGTCTATCTCGGTTCGGAAACTCACACTCAGCGGCAGCATTCGCCTGCTGGCATGACTGACATGGATGCTCACCTGAGCACTTGATTTTGTGTTTGTGGCAGCGGTTGCATCTGAGGTCGTCTTAGCGATGAGGAGCTCTACCCGGAAACATGTCGTCAACACACGCCACTGCACGTTTGCGTCGTTTGCCTGGACGCTCGCCGATGTTCATGTTGATGTGATGTTGGCAGCTGGAGCGTTCGGGTCAAGAGTCGGAAGTCCATGTGGACCCGCAAAGTGGTGGCTGACTAATCACAAATCAACCGTGGACATAATGATGACAGTAATATGTGCCGTACGCTGAAAGTTGCCCGCCCATGCTTCATCGCTTTCGAAAGCGTGTTGTGCCATTGATGCACAGATTTTACAGGCGTATCATGGCCGATCCAGCAAATACCACTGCCCGTGAGATGGCATGCCCGACCTTGCGAACTGTCGACCAAGCCCGGACTTTCTTGGTTCGTTGTGCGCTGAAGACAGCTGTACTCCTCCAGCGGTTATCTCTTTCTGAGCGAGTCATCGTAGCTTGGCCTGGCAGGAGCTCAAGCCGTGACGACCACAATAATGCCATAAATGCCTAGCCCTGGAAAGTTGCCACCTTCAAGGGCACTGCGTCGGTCGAATTCACGCAGTATGCTTCAGTATCCACTCATCTTCTGCAAGCTCCCGTGCTGTGGATCGCTTTGTAGGTTCCCACTGTAACATCTTCCGCATGAGACACAGAAAAGCCTCTCTATCCTCTGCATCACCGCCTTCAGCAAGAGACGTCTCTCTTGACTCGATCGGCCTCGATTGAGGTATCGGAATACCCGCAGTCCATTGGCCTGATGAGAGTCATAATTCAGCAATTGCCCATAGCTTGGATAGTAAGCTAGGATTCATGCTTACCAGAGTCGGAGAAGAATTTGCTTTTCAGACCTGCGCGCGCGAGGAGAGATTCCGGCGGAGGGCCGAGCAGTGCGATCATTTCAGCGAGATGGGCACGTCCACGATATGTTCCGAGTTCGGGATCTTTGCCACTGAATAGACTTTCACCCTGAGAAATGTCCCAAACCTTGAATAGGAGTACGCTGTTAGCCTGCTGCATATACCATCGATGTGAGACTTACCACGCAGCCAGCGTTCCAGATATCTACACTGTATGTCCATGGAATATCCAGAATGACTTCAGGCGCTCGGTAGATATTAGGCTGGATATCCTCCCGATGCTCAATTCCGTCGTCGAGCGCTGTGGCAGAACCGAAGTCGCACAAGACAGGCTCACCGATATCGCGAGGCATACCCAGCTCTCGAGATACATAAATGGTGCGGTCAGGTAGTTCTTTTCGCGGGCAAGGATCCGTTAATTGCTGGTTTTCGAATTCTTGGAACACGGCACTGTCGCCTCCTAAGAGTATGTTGGCCTCCTTTATATCCGTGTGTGCAACGCGACATTCGCTGTGCAATAGATCGAGGGCGTGGAAGAGACGCTTCAAGACCAAGGCAACCACCGGGACCGGTATTCGTTCGGTAGGATTTCGATGTTGGAGGTCGAGCACACTTTCCCAAAGAGCAGAATGCACGAAGCAATGATGGAGCCCCGCTGGCCCCTCGACTCTGAACGAATCCAAAAGCGTACGAACGGCTGTCCGGCCGGGGTGGGTCTTAGGGGCATTCTCGATGCGCTTGTAGACGTCGAGTTCGGTATCGAGTTGAGCGCCCATGCAATCGGACTGAATGTAGAACTTCACAGCTACATGCTTATGTTCACTACGGGAAGTCAGCAAAGCGTACATTGCATTGCCGTGGCAGGTGCATGAACCGACTCGAGATCGCGGGCGAGCCAGACAGTCGACGTGCCTCCAAAGCCCAGCTTGCCAACAATTTGGTACCGGTCCTGGAGTATCTCTCCGATGCTGGCAGGATAGAAATTTGATGCAACATAGTCGGGTAGCGTCTCTTCCTCTATTTTGCTATCCAAAGGGATGGCAGGGACACCGGATTTGGGAAATGCGAGAGGTTTCCATGGACGCCCAAATATTGGCTTCAATAGGCGTTGCAAGACCGACATAGCCCTCTCCTGGTGGTGTCTGCCCGGCTTGCATTCAGAAAAGTGCACAAAATCAATACAAGAATGCGAGAGAATTGACGAATGTGCACTGAGCTGAGGTTCGCGTCACACCGCAAAAGACTCCGATTCGCCAGACATGCGCCGCTAAGCCGAACTAAGCGCCCAGTCCCTGAGCGCTGGCTAGGCCGAACGGCCTTGCGCCCTTTGTACACAAACAATCCAACGACACTAATTCACCTATGAGGAATTCCAGACGCTGACTGGGAGAAGCGAGAATGACGATTGTGCGGACTCATTGATGCCCCTGGGAAATTCTTCCTTGCTGGAACTAATTATCGTAGATCCTTTCACTCTCTTCTGCCTGTCGCCGTGGAATACTCTCGTTTGTCTCCCTTTTTGAAAGTGCCCTTCCCGTCCGCATAGATGTGGTGAGTGTAGGCGCGCTGGCTTTTATCTACCGGCGTAATGCGCACGCTGAGTATGTCTTCTTTGTCCTTCGGGTTGTAAGCAGATTTGTGGACGGGACTTTGTCCGTCTCGGGTCCTTGAAGCCGTCAGTATGTGGTATCCAATTGCCCAGGCGAACCAGAGAGTATGACTTTATCTCGGCAGATTCGATCTCACCGACTTTCTCATCTTCAGGTTAGCTGCTTGCTTCGTGGCGATATCTAGGCACAGTGAATTTTTGCTTGCCTTCACAGCACCATTTTTCAAGTATGTCTCAAGTGCAGCCCTCCATGGCGCAGTCAGCTGGCTCAGGCTATACCCAATGAGCTTTGGAAGGTTCGACATTGTATGGATTTGTTTTGTTGTATGTTGGATGATGGGGAGATGCGAAATTGGTCTGCTTCAGCATGCCCTTCTTATAGGCTCAAAATACAGAATACTAGTCCATGATTGTACTTGCAGACTTGCCAACTGGCATCTGCTGTATGCCACAATGCGGCGTCTCGAGATGTATGCGGTTAATGTGTGAATCTGAATGGGCAGCGTGGAGACATGGTCTGGCCGGAGAATAAGCGGGCGGCTGCCGGTTTGCAAGGCGTGTCACTGAAAAGCAGCCAATACCAGAGAACCAGTCTCGTAGGCCATGTTTGAGAATGGCGCATAGGCAAAATTTGATATGCTATCGTCTTCGGAGGGTACCGTAGCATAAGTTGTTCTGAATGGAGCCGAGCTTTAAACGCAGGCGCCGGACGGCTTTGGCGATCTACGTCCCGGCCTGAGGCACTATGTTCTGGGTATCCATTTTCGTCCCCATCCTCACCTTGCAGCATGCCTTGTCTCAAGCTCTCTTCAGGCTATTGTCCTTGCGATATCCGATGCCGAGAACGATAGCAACCCTTGTCAGAACAAACGGCCAAGTCGTGATAGCCGCAACCCAGTCATTCAGAGTCCAATTCGACAACACAGCCCATTTCGCCCAGCCGCCAACAGCCTGCGCCATCGAGTGCGTGTACAGTGCGTCAGACATCAAGATGGCCCAGCACAGCAACTTCCAGACCCGAACATCGTCCACGTATCTCATGACGACGGCCTCCAGGAAGACGATCACGGCCCAGCCGCCTCCGAGCTGCGTGTAGATAAAGTTCGTGGCAGTGTCGATGGAGGCGACATTCTCGCGAGTGAGGGCCTTGACGTAGTCTTCTGGTTTCACCAAGACCATCACGACGCCACCGAAGGCGAAGAGTGATTCCACGTTTGTCAGGAGAAATCGATAGATGGATGGCAGAACTGCCGAGGCTTTGGTGATGGGTGTGGCTTGTGACATAATGTGGCAGTGCTGCGCCTCACGTCTCGAACTTGTCTCGTCGTCGTGTATCGGCCTCGCCTGCGTACGTGCGTGAAGAATGCTTGGTTCAGCTAGAGATGGGTTCGACCTCGAGACTTCAGCTGTCGTGTCGTGGCTTAGGACGATGCGCTCTTGGGTGTGGAAGAAGGAGGTTTCGATTGGGAGCCGTCAGCATCCGGGAAGACATTGCTGCGACCGTGCGCCGCTGAATCCTGTCATGTCGCTCGGTAAGATACGAGATCCAGCATCACGTTTCTTGCTCGAGTGACGAACACTTCTCTCATAAGGACACAAGGCATCATTCGAGTGCCTGAGAACTATCGGTCAATTCTTGCCAATGCAGTGGAAGGGCTGCAAGGCCAGTACCAGAAACCAGCGTCGCCCGGCAACGCCGACACCTCCGTTCAACGTCACCCGTTCGCGCAACCGCTCTCTACAAGTCTCAACACACCGTATCATCTACGTAGGCCGTCGCCGCCATAGCCCATACAGATACACTCTCGATAGCAGTACCTTCGAGCTAAAGATTGCGACTCAAGGGCATCGCACCAGGAAGAGCTGAATATCATGTCCCTGGCCGAGGCCATCATCAATAGTGCTGTGATGCACGAATACTCCATCATGCGACCTAGTTCCCAATATCGAGGCTGTCTCAAAGCAGCATCTCTGTAGGTTCTTGATCAGAATGCCTTGATGATGGGGAATGCAACGAAGCATCAAGAGACCTCTGACTTTGCGTTTGCCATGCGTAGATGCCCCGTTTCTTACGGTCCTATATGGCCGTTGCGATCGTTGCGTTGTCCTGGCGAGGTAGAATGAGTGATACTATGCCATGCGTTCTCACGTCGGTATAACATTGTGTCAACATCTACGACAAACATCGAGTGTATTACTGACAACAGAAACACGACCGAGTGTCACCATCGAAACTATCACGGGCTGCTCAAATCGAAGAAGTGCAGCATTTGACATTGCAGCTGAATTTGCACGAGGGAAGTTTTCAAGCACCTGACAGCGAAGTGAATGAACATCAGACGACATCAATTGAAGCAAGGCGAGTCACCCTCCCATCACACAGCTGATCATTGACTACCTTACCATCTAGGCACATACCAGACATTTCCAGGTCATCGCAACACACAGACTATCAGATCTGGCTCTGCAGAACGATACACAAGATGAGACTAACACTAGTGACCGCACTTACGCTGTACCATACACTACAAAGCACATTCGCCAAGCCTGTTCCTAGCAAGATCGAAGCAGTCTCCGTTTGGAACAAGCCCGCATCCCAATGGTTTGACATGCTGACCCCGTTCGGGCTGAAGGAAGGTAAAGATGATTCGAAGAAATCAGACAAGGGCGACAAGAAGAAAAAGAAGAAAGAATCAAAGGATGCCAAACCTGTCGAGTACCATTGGTACACAGGCGATGGCACTGTTGCCGCTGGCTGGCCAGATGAAGATGACTGGAAGAGTTTCGATGATCTGTAAGTGGTGTCCACTATACTGATAATCGTGACGCGGCAACATGCCCACAAACCCAACGATCATTAACCACAATCGTAGATGGGACATCAACTCCGCAGCCTACATCTCCCTAACCCCCAACACTCCCGACGAAACCTCCGACCTCCACGCCTCTATCCTCTCCGTCTCCTCCTCCACCGGCGTCGACGCCCGCTTCATCCTCGCCACCATAATCCAAGAATCCAACGGCAACGTCCGCGTCGGCACAACAGCAATGGCAAACGCCAACCCAGGCCTCATGCAATCCTACGGACCCCTCTGTTCTGGAACCTGCAAAGACATCCCCACCACAACCCATTGTCCATCTTCCATGATCGAACAAATGATCAAAGACGGCACAGCTTCGAATTCCGCGGGAATGGGTTTGCAGGATTTGATTGCGAAGAGTGGAGTCGATGATGTGAGTAAGTATTACAAGGCGACGAGAATGTATAACTCGGGACCGAATAGTATTCCAGAGGATGGGGATTTGAGTGCGGAGAGTGGGGCTGCGACGAGGACTTATGCTTCGGATGTGGCGAATCGGTTGGTGGGGTGGGTGGCCAATGGGACGGAGGGGCAGAAGGTGTGGTAGAGATGGGGTGTAGAATGGTTGATTGAAGAGGAGATGAGATGAGAGGTGGCCGGTGTCGTGTGATGAGTGATGATGGGAGTGGTTAATGGTGGTGGGCATGGAGTGTATGGGAATAGTGGCTTTTGCGAGGAGTTTCTGGAGTTAATGGACGATTACGTTCTGGGACACGACTTTCGGGGATTTTTGAACGACGGCTTTTACGACGATGATGCACCAGCATACGACGAAAACGACAGTGAATGAGGTCCAAGATGGCCACGAA